ATAGAATAGAATAGAATAGAATAGAATAGAATAGAATAGAATAGAATGGCAGAGTTGGAAGGGACCTTTGAGGTCTTCTATCTAGTCCAACCATCAAATTCAGTCATGGGTTAGATTGTCAGGCCAATTTCTTGCTGGTGATTTGTTTAGCAATGACATTATTGGTCTAGGGTGGCATTTGTTCTCTATGTTTTTCCATCCATCTATGGGGATATATCTTTAGCAGTGGAATATTTTGTCAAAATGATAAAAGAAGCATCTTTTATTTATTATTTATTTATTAAATTTATCATGCTGTCATAATGCAGACTCCATTCCTTTCATATGTGCATGCAATGGCTTCAAAGATGTGGAAATGGAATGGAAGTTTGTGTTATAGTTGCATGATGTTGATTTAAACAATTCCCCTCCCTGTGGATGTTTACGTGATTGTAGGCAATGAACATAAAACAGCTAGACATTTATATGCTAGAGATGAACCAGAGTTTCCCAAAATCTGCCATGAATTCTGTACCTCTATCAGAAATGAAATGATAATGCAACTCATGATTTCAGAAAACCCCTGACTAAATAGATCAGCCATTTCAGGAGAGGAGGGAAGTCTGTAATTAAGTCGCTGCAATTAAATCTTTTCATAGAAAAAACATGCCATTATCTACATCTAAATGCACATGTAAGTTTCTGTCCACAACTAGAACACCTATGCCCTCACTACAATAATTCATTCGGCATTTGACAGAAATGCATTAAAAACCCAAGGATTAACACATATTTTTCCCTGGTAATTTTTTTATGTATTTACTTCTCGTGCTGCATTCATCTTTTGCTCCCATTGTTTTTATTGTATTCAGCAACCAATCTCCAAATTCCTATTAAGGCAATGTTCCCTAATTTTCCCTGTACACTTTATCATAAGCTAACAAATGTACAATAACATTTCTTTCTTGTATTCAAATATTTTTCAGTGACCCTCTGAGGAATCAAATATTGTACATTCTTTCCTTAGCAGAAATACACACGGCACTTCCCAAATTTTGATCATTGTCATTTCTTGTGCCTTTTTGATCAGAATCCTGCCAAACATCTTCTCAAGCACATGTAACAATCTAATCCCCATGTAATCTTTGTATTCATCTGTGCTTTCCCCCTTTGAATAGGAGAACAGTGACAACATTCTTTCGAATCATCAGGCACAGATTGATCCCTCACACACATGTTAACCAAGTCACAAAGCCACTGCCTGAGCAAACCATATCCATATTTTAGCATTTGACAAATTACCATCTACATCCGCAGGCTTACATATGTCCAAATTTTCACATCATTTATGACTTGCTTTTCATCCCCGCCCCCAACACTAGCATTTGTAGCATTTGTTTCAATTCCATCCTTTGGTGTTTCATTACCATCTTTATTTAAATCTCCAAAGGACTCCTTTCAGCTTTTCTTCAGTTTCATCCCAAATATTTTCATCACTTTTAGTTTAATTTATCTTGCTTAAGATTCCTTGTTTAGCTCTTCAGCAACTTCCAAAGCATTTTTATTTCTGTCGAAATTATTCTGCCTTTTTTCTGCCTCTCAATTTTAACTGTTCTTTGTTCTCCTTCAATACGTTTTTGTAATGATCTTGTTCTCTGTATAATACTAGGCAATATTTTTAGTCATTATTTGCAGCAATTATTCTCTTATGTGCATTTTTTCTTCTCCACATCCTCTTTCACATAATTCCACCAAACATTCTTTTTCATCCTGAGGTGCTCCATCACTGGAGGTTTTTAAGAAGAGACTAGACAGTCACTTATCTGAAATGGTATAGGTTCTCCTGCTTGAGCAGGTGGCTGGACTAGAAGATCTCTAAGGTCCCTTCCAGCCCATTCTATTCTATGCATCTTTCTCATTACACTTCTGCAGGTAGTGCCGGGTTACTTACTTATGAGGGACTGGAATTTTGGTTGATAAGTGATACAGTTATTAAGTGAGTCATTGTGTTAGTGGACCAGATTTTATCACTATTTTTACTGTGGTTGTGAAGCAAATCACTTAGCTAATTAAAGTTCAATTCAATCCAATAAATTGTCAGAAGCTGACTGGGAAGGTGCTATGGACATAACTTTGAGGACAGGTTGTAAGTCACTTTTTCAAAGGCTGTCCTAAACTGAGCCATTGTTAAATGAACAGTTGTAAGTTGAGGACCACCCGAATAGCATTTTGTTCCCAGTAGCTTCCACATCTATTTATCTTTATTCTTTATTCTACTTTGTATTATGTTGAGAGATTGGTCTACCTTTTGATACTTTTCATTCAAGACTCCCTTTTCTTGCAATAGCTCTGTTTGCAATCTAGTATCATTCATTTTTTAAAAGAAATTCTCTTCCCAGGATCCAATCTTGCAAGTTTAACAAAATGGTATACTCCACATTCAGAAACTTTATGGCTCCTGTTTTTTTCCCCACCAATTCTCTTAGTCTTCAACCATAAATCAATCAATCATGCTTTTATATTTATATTCCTTTGCCATATATGTATTAACAGATTTATGCTTATATTTGAAAATTACAAACCATTTCCTAAGCAAATTGTCCCAATCATCATTTGTATTCATTCTTAGTTCTCCAAATAGCCCAATTTGCACACTCTTTCTCATTCCTGTCTATTATAGGGGGATTTCATATAACAGAATCATTTTTTCTCTAATTTCTCATTTTTTTTCCTGGGGTTTATTCAAAATATTGAACAGGTTTCCTCAAAACTAATTTTTGGATTTTCCATTATCATCACTCATTAACAACATACAATTGTTATCAAACTCTGAATTCCTAATCTGATTTCTGTCTTTTTCATGACATGTATTAATTTAATGCTCTTTACCATTTACTGTTTTTACATTTCAAATCACAATCTTCCATATACTGTGATTATCACCAGATAGATTCATAGAATTTTACTTCCAGAACCATTATAGCCTTGGACAATCAAGGTTTCACATAATATTGTTTAATACTGCAAAGAAGATATACAGTAAGTTTCCTGTTAACTATAATTCAGTCAAGTTCTGCTCAGTTGGAATTTCTACTAAAAATCTTGGGATCTGACTCTTACAGGTCTATATGATATAGAGCATTTGTAGAGTTAATCACTAATTTTCCTTTGTAACGTGCTTCTTATGTACAGTTTTTGGCCTCTGGCCTCTAATAAAGTAAGTAAAATAGTATTGTTTATGTATGTTTTTCTCATCCAATCTGATTAATTTTTATCTTGTTTTGACCTGAATTTGATTTACTTTTTTTAAAAAAAACAAAGTTCCATAGTCAATATGTTTTATATTTTTGTAAGTTACTTTGATGTGTTCTATTTTCAGTCCTTGGCAATCCAAAAATACTGCTAATAGTGTGGATGTTTATAGGTTAGGCCACTCTAATATTACAGGCATTGTCATCATTCTGATTCATACCTTTCTCCAGATTTAAGTATACAGTTGATTTAACCACATCTTCTTTCTAATTATTAAGGTCTTGAGAGAGGGTTAACAAAGGCTTTGAAGAAACTGGATGACTATCTGAGAAATCCTTTGCCTGAAGAGATAGACACAAGCAACACTGAAGAGGAAAGAGTGTCAAAACGCAAGTTTCTTGATGGGGAGGAGCTGACCCTTGCAGACTGTAATCTCCTGCCCAAGCTTCATGTTGCCAAGGTGAAATGCTCTCATATCCATGATAGACCTGAAACTCAAATACCAACAGTAGTTGGTTGCTACTAAGATCCATTTATACTACGTTTCCCACTTCTGTTAGGAGAGAGAAGTTCAGAATAAACTAACATAGATAATTAGGTTTCCTTTGAATGAGTTGAAGAACCTATAAACATATAGCAACTTCATTCATCAAGGTACTACCCAAACATACTGAAGTAAGACTGATGAAACCAGGTGTATAACTCTTAGTCTTGCTTAAGATTTTCAAACAACAAAAATAGATCTCCAATTGGCTCCAATACTGCCTGCCAATCTACTCAAATCTTACTCAAGTAGTCTTTTTTTAATTTAAGCTTGACTTAAAGGGGATTTTACTTCTAAACTGCATGTGAGTCAATAGTGTGAGATATCTGAAAAAAATTAGGTTTCACATCTTAGGAAATAAGTTTGGTACTTCAGTATTTGAAGTGCCACTGTAATATTTAAGGTGGTCAGAGTCTACCTCAAATATTGTAAGTGTTTTGGCTCCTATTCTTTAAAAAGTGCCAATAAATTTGCAACAAGTTCAGGGAAATAGGAAAAGGATAGTTTTTCATCTTAAATCTTTATTATAATCTTAAAATCAGAATGGTCAGACAGAAGAATTACAAGTAAGCTTTGTACTCTTTCATGGGACATTTCTTCATCCCTAATATGGAAAATATGGATAAGAACAGGATGATCATTGGACTAGAAGCCAAATCCTATGAAGAGAAAATGAAAGAACTGGAATATTTAGTTTTGAGAATAGAATATTATGTGGGAATAGAGCACCATTCTTCAAGTAATGGAAGAGTGTAGCAAACATTTTCTGACAGCAAGAGCAATTAATAATAGAACTAATTACTCAGAGAGGCAAGGGGCTCCCTTTCAATGCATGTACTGAAACAGATATAAC